CCTAGTTAGACAGTTTAAATGTCCTATTGGTTTTTTTTTTATGTCAACAAAATTAACAGTAATGTTCTAAGTACCTTAATATCTACTGCTATTATTAAACTTAATGAGGTTGGAATACAAGTATGGAATGTAACTTGCGATGGAGCTCCTTCTAATTTACAAAGCTTCAAAAAATTAGGCTGTAATTTTGATATGCATAGTTTGAACACAAAGTTTACTGTAAAAAATGCAAATAGATCAATTGAAGTATATTCTATTTTTGATACTTGTCATATGCTTAAGCTCGCTAGATCTTCTTTGGCTGATAAACAAATTATTCAATCTAATATTGGTGATATCAAATAGCAGTACATACGCCCTCTAAATGCATTTCAAAATGAACTTGGCTTAAAATTTGCTAAAAAATTAAGTTCACAACATATTAATTACAAAAATTCTATTATGAAAGTTAGATGCCCAGACACTCAGCAGTGGAGTAGCAGATGGAATTGAATACTTACAGCAAAAAGGTGAATCATCATTCCAGAACAGTGATGCTACAATATATTTTATAAGACAAATAGCTCGAATATTTGATATACTCAATTCCAGAATACCATTTTCCAAAGGTTACAAAAGTCCTATAAACCCAGGTAATATCAATACAATAAGATCGGTTTTTAACGACACATCTGATTATTTAAAAACTTTGAAATGTGAGAATAACCTGTTAATATTGGGTGAAAGGAAAATGTTTATTTTAGGGTTCATAGTAACTACGTCTAGTACAATAGAAATTGCATATAAATTTCTTTATAGATCCCAAAATCCCCTTAAATATGTTCTGACTAATAAAACTTCACAAGACCACATTGAAATTTCGTGCTAGGGGTGGAACAATAATAATCCAAATTGTGTTCAATTTAAAAAAACCTTGAGGCAATTATTGTACACCAAAAATATTATTGTTGAAAATGAAAATTGCTCATATTATGAAATTCCCGGTGGAGATATATTGGATTTTCGTTCTGAAAAAAAGAAATATTAAAAAATCTACTAATAATGATGATGCTTTTGATGAGTTGGATGTGTTTGGTGATGAATATAAGAATCTTTTATCCAATATATATTTAAAAGAATATACTGGCGAAATATTAGATTATATTGCTGGATATATTGTGAGGAATATATCTAGACAAATAGTTTGCCCTTTTGGTATAGATATACTAGTTGATTGACGGTCTGACCACAGCTACACAAAAAATATAAACTTTACCTCTTTTATTACACGAGGAATAAATTAAAAATAGTTTCTCCTGCTGTTTCTTTAATTCTTAAAGAATTGGAAAAATCTTTTCAACTTATTGTAGTCATGCAAAAAAAACTACATGCAAATGCAAAACCTAATATTTTAATGCTAGCAAGGAAGAATATATTAAATAAGTCAAATTTATTCTTTTTTCCTAATACTCATCCTATAAATATTGAACTTGGTTCTCCTAGTCATGAGCATAAACTATTCTCAGTTCTTAGTGACAGCTACATAAATATTAGAATGCGACATTATGCTAAAAAAGTTAATGCAAAGGAAGTATTAAAAAATAAAAGTTCTTTGAGACAAAAATTAACTAAACTAATACTATTTCAAAATGTATAAAAATTAAATTAAAATTTGTTTTAATGTTTAAAATGTAAATTTTATAAAAATATTCTATTTGTTCTAATGTTTTTAAATTTAAATTGTGTAAATATTATATTGTATTAGTAGCCTGTAGGTATCGATGTTTTAAAATAAATAAATGTTATAAATATATCTTATTTCTTCTTTTTTTTGTGGTGTTGAATTTGTATTTATTGTTTCCCATTTCCTACATTACCTATTTCAATATTATATTTTAATATTATAAATTAATTATTTATTATTTAGTAATAGGTACCCAGGTACTTAAATAGTTAAATCAAAGTACGTCTGATTTTAAGATATGATTTGGAATATTGCTGCATTTACTTCAATATAATATGGTATACCTATATGGTATTAACTACTAATTTTTATTTAAATGGATGACTGAATGACTAATGTAATTATTTATATTCTATACAATTTGAATTATAATATTATTGCTTATGTTTAAAGGTAAGTGGTTAGCTGTAAACACGATAAATGTCTGTTTTATTGTATTAATTACAATAATTCGTTTTATACTTTTGTGTAGTTATTTATTTTTATTTTTCTGTTTAAAACTAAATCGCTTTATAGTAGGCTTGTTAACAGGTACAAATAGTTTTTAATTTTTAAAATCGGACGAGTGGAAGTACAAGTACCTAAAATATTATGAGGCGTTTATGCTCTTCAGTACGTTCGTAAGTTAACAGCTATTTTTTTTTGCCCTGCAGAGGTGGGGGTAACGTTCAAATTTTCGTCGCATGGACGATATTGGTAAGAGAGCGCTCCAGTTTATCCAATTGTTTATCTATCTTGATGGTTATTACTTATTATTTATATTGATAACAAGTCTTTTTTTTAATCTGAGCGGTTCGATGAATGTGTTGATTTTACAATGTGTATTTTTTTAAATTATTTATTTGTGTATGTACTTCATTGTTTTGTTCGATTTGAGAATGAAACTATTTGGTGCATTGAGTAGTTAAAAATTTTAAATGTCCACTAGTTTTCCAAAGCGCCGGGAAAACAAAAAAAAATTAAGTAAAAACGGGAATTGTATCGGTTTTTGGTTTAACTCTAAAACAAATGACCATAGAAATATGCAATATTCACTGAGTGTTTATATTAGCATTTTCTATGCATTATTATAAGTCATAAGAATTTCAAAATAATTTTACTTCTTTAGATCTTTTACAGACGTTTTTAGTTTCAGCATCACAGGGATTATTCTTAGAGTATCAGAAAAGTACTGTAGACAAGGACATACTGTTATTTTTCAAATTAAGTCTTTAAAAGAAAAATGTAAAAATTGTGTACATTGGATGCAATGTGCAATTAATTAATATACATCTGCTTCATCATTAAGTGAGTGTAGTTTGCAAGTGGGTCACCACTATGGTAATAGGGTTAAACATCCAGTGAAAATTGATTCGATTATTAATTTTATAAATTACAACAAAATATCTATTGATAGTTAATTTAAAAAGGAATGTACAATGTTGTGTAAAAGTGCTCTAAGTAGAATAACTTAAACAGTATTTAGATTGTGTAGCATGTCAAGTTTTTATATTTAACTTTTTAATAATTATAAAATATATATCTCTAATAACAAGCTCTATTCAGTCAAAATTAAAAATGTGTCTATAGTCTATACCTACCATTTTAAAAACTTGGAAAATTAAAATAAATTCTACTTTAAATACTTTAGGAAAATACACTTACATTGTTATACTTTGTTTAAAAATCTCTAATTGAGTCCAAATTTGAACTTATAATTTCTATAAAAACAAACAGTATATTGATATAATATTCTGATTACAATATTAACTACTTATGAGAAGCTTAGTTTTAAACATTGATCATTCTATAAGTTTTTAACTGCAAAATGATTCAGAAAGTTAAGTGATACTTTAAATGCTTATAATCTAACTTATATGGGGTATTGACCTCTAGTAAGTTAGATTATATTACCTATAAGATTATTTTACCATGGTCTTTAATTTAATTACATTTTACAATATTATAACAAAGTAGTATTTGTGATACAAAAATACGTCATATTGACATACTATTTGTAAAAATAACAATAAATAATAATATAAAAATATGAATGACATCAAAAATATAAACATAGATAAAAATACATGGATAAAAAAAACATAAATGTTGGTTATAGTTATTATAAGAGACCTTATTTATATGCATGCAAACATGCACTAAAAGAAGTCACAATATGCAAGAAAAAAATGTAAAAGATGCAAAATAAAATTTCAATTTGTATTAGATTTTATATTTGATTTTAATTTTGCAGTAATAATTATTTATTAAATTGTAATTTAATTTTTAATCATTGATACATTGTAAAAAATGTTTTATTAAAATTAAATAGTAGATACGTTGGTGATATACCGATATAAATATGAAAAAAGTACAAAAAATTTAATGAAGTATGTTAATTGGAAAAACAATAACCTTAACTATTTTTAGTGTCCGAATATTCTTTGAAATGTAAAATATTTGATATTAATTTTATATAAATGTACCTATAATCTGTTTTTTTTTGCTCAACACTTTTTTAGATTGTCAAGTGTATATTTGTACAGTTTTTAGTTATTATCAAATAAAATAAAATATTTTTTACAATGTATCAATGATTAAAAATTGAATTACAATTAAAAAAATTACATTATTGCATTACATATTTGTCATATTATGCATCTTATTTTTTGTTTATGAAAATTTTAATAAAACTAATAAATAATTATCACTGCAAAATTAAAGTTAAATATAAAATGTAATGAAAATTGAAATTTTATTTTGCATCTCTTGCATTTTTTCTTGCATCTTTTGCATTTTTTCTTGCATCTTTTGCATTTTTTCTTGCATCTTTTGACTTTTTTTAGTGCATGTTGCATGCATATTTTTAAATTTAAAATGCATATAAATCAGGTCATAAGTTATTATATTATAGGTACACATAGAAATATTATAAGTACAATGATCAGTTGAAATAATAAAATAATGATATGAATGATTAAAAAAATATATACCTAGTTAAAATTGGAAATTATAAAGAGTATATGATAGCATAATATGAAATGGTCGATAAAAAAATATTGATCGTTCAACAAATAATATGTGAAGTTCAGGGCGGAGTGGCTCAACAATTCTTACCGGGCAAACAGATATTTTCAGGCCACATAAATTTATTTCAGGTCATTTTTTTCAAATTTAATTTCTTACCATTTATTGTCTTATTGCTAGATGTGTGCTTACCATTTTTTGATTGGGTGAAGTATAAAACAATTTAATAATAGTGGTGGTTCACATATCACATTATTTATTTGTTTTCGTTGTTTTTACAGTTCTCAAAAATAGATAAATATTTTAAACATTAATTATTTTCATCACACCAGGACCAGGCCACTTCTTATATAAGCTAGCCAGGCCACCGGGCATTGTCCCGGTTGCCCGGCAGGCCACTCTGCCTCGGGTGAAGTTACATGTAAGTTACAAAAAAAACATAGATTAAGTATACAAAATTATGCAAACGATATTAGCCAAAGAATATTTTATGATAAAAAATTGTTCTTACAATAATAATAAAAATAATAAAAGTAATATGAACAAATTGAGATTTCAGTTGCAGTGGCAGGACTTGAAGGACCGGCAAAATGTTTATTTGAATTTCTTCTTCTTGCTCTGAAAAACTACTGGTAACTGTTTATTATCCTTATAGTTTTAATTGCGCTCTAATCAATATTTTCGGGTTTATCTTTTTGTTTTGATGGTTCTTCTTCGTCATCCATTATCAAATCCGCAACATATTTTTCCAAGGCTTCATCTTCCTGGCATTTTGAAACATCTGGCCTAGGTTCTTCTTTCGAATCAGTGGATATATCTAAGTCATCTATTTCGATAACTGTATCATCAATAGTATCAATCGTGTTTTTGATGTCTGTATTTTTTTCAGGTACAATCCATGAACCATCATCCAAAAGTTCGATTTCCTTGATGTCATCTCCAAGTGCAAGATTTTCAACAATTTCCAAAAAATAACCATCTATTCGTATTTCATCATACAAACAAGATGTATAACACGTTGGGCACATCCATTTGGGCTTTTTCTCGTTCATTAAAATGAATGTACCTGCATCAAAACACTGTAAATGATTACAATGGATAGATTTTGCAGGTATCTTCATTCTAACTGTACTCAATGGACACACCAAGGAAACAGTTATAGATGTAGAGGCCAAATCTGGATCAACAACTGTCAACTTTTTAATAATATCATGTTTTGTTTCTTCTAAACTTCTCACTTTATCAACATAAAGTTTTTTTATCAAAGTATCTGCACTCACTTGTTTTACAATGAACATTGCAAGGGCGTATTCTTTCCCATCAGGAATCCAATTTATAGTGATCAAGTTTGGAAAAATTGGATTAAGTTTTAAAATCTGCGCACAGTTAATAGGTCCAGAAGTTAGTCTAGACTCTTTTCCTGGTTGCGCCGGAAGAAAAGATGGCAATGGACAAGTTGTACCATTGATTTGAATAAAAAGTTGTTTGGGCAACTCATCAGTTACCTCAGTATTCACAATTTGTTCCAACTGACAAATTCGAATCTGACAATTTATTGGGTAATCACATTTGCCATTGGAAGTGTCCCGATTCATTGCAATAAGCTCTATTTCTTCATTTGACATGGTATATTTGAATTCACATTTTATCATACCTGAAATAAAATAAATGTTATAAATATAATTAAGAATATAATAATAAAAAATATTTTGCTACCTTTGGCATATTTTGTTACAGTATTTGAACCATTAAGAGAAGTTGGTTTAATTGTATCCTTAATAACATCATAAAATGGTAGCTTCTTGAACTTGTAATCTGCTACAATTTGAGAAGATGGGATGGAAACAGAGGCATTACTGTTTCCACTAGTTTGTGGATTCAAAACAAGGTATGATGTATTTTGATTTGTTGGCAATTGCGATGAAACAACAGTATGAGGTCTGACTGGCTGATAACTGCCAGATACACACTGAATGTGATTGTTAGCCACAGTATTTCTAGGAAAAGAATTTGTACCTGTAGGGTACCCAAGTCTGAGTCCTTCTATTTTGGACGGAAACTGTGGTAATCTAGCACTGGTCATATGAACTGATTGTTGAGGATATTGTGGTAGTTGGTAAGTTCTTTGTTGTGAGATTTGTTGCTGATTCATATGCGTCCTCTGCCCCCGCTGAATACTCATAGAAAGGTGTATATCATATATTTTTGCTCGATATGCTATATAGTTAAAGCCATCTGGTATAGAAATTAATAATTCCAACGCCCTTTCTCGTAATTCAGGTCTTCGTCCTTCTATACTTTGTCCGAAAGCTCCCAAAAGTAATTTCAAATCACTAACTCGGAAATGAGCCAGCCAATTTCTATAAGTCTCACCATTGAAATTACTCATGATCACTAAAAACAAATTTAAAAAAAAATGTTATCTTTTTTATTGAATGTAGTTTTAATGTTATAATAATAAAATAAAAATATTGAATCCACTTTATAAAATATTATGTAATATGGGTAATTATGTCATTTCTTATCTCTGTAATCTCTTTAGATTCGTATTAAAATAAAAATGCAGTAATATGATAAAGAACTTCTATAGAGGGACATACATTTAAAAGCTTCTCCGCAGACCATAAGAAAACCATAAATAAGAACCATCTAGAAAATTAATCAATCAATGATTTAGAATTCTTTAACACAAAATTATTTTAAATCCTAAATGTTCACCCAGCATTTTATTAATAATAATTACAATAACAACTGTGGATTTGTTGGTTCCTATAAAATGTATCGGTGACCGTCAACGGATGCCCGTGATCATGACGGTTAGCATCAATATTGTTGGAAAAACATTTTCAACAAAAAATAGTTTTAACGTTAATGTCTAGAGCTTATCCAGCCACTTAGTGTTTATATTGATAATACATTTTATGTACATACGTAGTAATGTAGTAAACACAATTATGGAGAAAACAGAACCCGGTGTCTCTATTTGTTATAAATTAAAATATGCACACTGATTACTGAGGATATTCTATTATTATTTATTTTATTGACTAGAATATCAGAATTACAAAATCCTACAAAGTAAGACATAACAAACATAATATTTATGTCAAGTGTACTGTTAATTTTATAAAATTTAGAAAGTTTTTTTACAATTGTTTAATTTTGTAAATAAACTGCACAGTACACTTTACATATAAATTATATTTGTTGTGTCTTATTTTGTAAGATTATACATATAATATTTTTCTATAGGTACTAGATACCATAGTAATATAGTACCATGATAACTGATTTCACTGCATCAAAATGTATCTATTTAAATTTAAATAAAAGAATACTCTTAAATATTTTAATAGCATGTACATTCTGATTTGATGACTGAATTAAAGACATATAAAATAGATAAATCTAGTTCAAATAGTGTGTCAAAACCAATACAAACAAAATTATCAATGTTATTCTACTGAATATTCAGGATTTAAGAGGAAATGTTCAGAACAAATGGTATATATTTGCATATTAGTATTACCTATTAATTTACTCTTAAAGCATTAGTTAATATTGATGACTAGCTATACCTATACACAAATTCCATTTATTTATATTTTAAATTAAATATTATAGACAATGAATATAACACGATAATATATTACCTATAATTTGAAATTTAAAATATATTTATAAATTTTTTTTTTTAAGCTATCGTTAAAAAAAAATGTAGTAGTGTAATAGTTTGGACGTGTAGGTCACCACCAGGCTACAATTGTACAAATTGTAATGAATAAATATCTTCAATAACCTTTTGAGATTTTTTAAGTACCTATCATAATTTAAAATTTACTGGATACAAATAAAGTAAGAACAAAATTAATATGAACTTTCTAAATAATATTGTATAAATTATTTATATTATTTAGAAAGTTCATATTTATGTTCTTACTTTATTTATACTCAGTAAATTTTAAATTATAATAGGTACCTACTTATAAAATATCAAAAGTTCATTGAAGATATTTATTTATGACAATTTGTATAATTGTAGCATGTTGGTACTGCTCTACATTTTTTAACAATAACATACAATAAATTTGATTAAGAAATACATTTAAAATTTTAAATATATAGTATGACATGTTATGTACCTAACTTACATTAATTTGATATTACATTTAGTTTAAAATTTAAATAAATGGAATTCAACTATGTAATTATCTAAAAGTTACAAAATTAAAACTTTAATTTATTTTTATTTCACAACTAAATATTATAAAATGATTTCAGGTGACTGCATTGGTTTTTAACTATATTGTAGAAGAGATAAAACTTATCAAATGTAAAACATAAGGGATAACTTGAGTGACAGGATGTTTGAGATGTCAGCAAATTTAATGTATAACAGTATTTATTTGGAAATTAATCAATTATTGTACTGATAAAGTAGAAATAAGGGATCAGTTTCAAATGAAAATGCTTAATATTGATTATGAACACCCTACAACAACTTTGAAAAGGATTAACTTCTTAGATTTTTTTAGTGTTACAGAATTTGTTCTTCAATTGAATGTTTAAATACAAATTAAGTACCTGAAAAAAAAATTAAAAACAGAAAGTTAGCAATTTAATAGCACATGTAAATTGTAAAGCCATATTTAGTATCTGTACTAATTTTATAATTATTTTGATGTATCGTAATTTAATAAATACATTTTTTTATACATTGTTTTTACAACTTAATAAGTATTATTTACTAACGTCTAACCGAGTTGTATGGAACTACATTTATTTTATTTATGTTTGTAATCAATACCAGTAACTAAATTATAAATTAAATAAAATAACCATAAAATAATTATTTCTTTAATAACTTGTACAATATGCGTTATGTGTCTTCATGTTGTAAATAAAACATATATTTTAATTTATGAAAATAATGTTCTTGGTAATCATTTACCTACCTACCTATAGATTGACCTAAGTTACCTATTATATGTCATTTATATGTTGTAATTTGTATTTATATTTGTTGATCATTGTTGTGTTTAAAGTATCAACAAATGCATGTAGGTAACACTTTAAACAGTAAACCTAATGTACCTAATGTAATATATTATGTGGTTAATACTCTAACAGAAAACAATGTTAGATGTTAATTTAAGTTTACAAAGTAAAGTTTAAAGTACAGTTTAAATACTGTCTTAAGAGGAATTGGGACCTGCATATTTATAGCAAATGTCTCTTCACCAGATTCAACAGTGTGCTGAAAACTTTGATATTAGAGTGAATTGACCAATTATACAATTTAAATGTAAAATTATTATCTAGGGATCCATAACTATCATTATTATAAAATATTTATTTTTCCTGAATAAATAAAAAATGGACAATTTTAAACCATTATTAAATATATGTGCTTCTAAATATGAATTTTTAAAGTTACATCATTTAGAGAAAGGAAAATAATTTGAAGTGTCTTGTTTCAAAATAATTGATAAGTAACAGTAAGTAACTCTGTTGAAATATGTTAAATAATTCTTAGAATCATAGAACAGGAACGTACTCATTCGTTAAAAATTATAATTATTGTAACAAGTAGCAACGCACATTTATATTGAAAGGGCTTTGATAAAATCAGCTCAAGAATTATGCAGATTATCCAATCATAATACAATTAAAACAAATAGCTATAAACTGAATTGAATCAAGGGCATCAAATTGACAAGGGCGTCTTCAGAAATTTATCAAGGGGAAGACAAACATTTTTAATTTTTGTTTCACTATCTGATTAGTGATAAAGTATTGTTAATGAAATGTTTTCTTTCGTATAGGCAGGGAATGTAAAAATTATTTATGAATTATAATATGTAGATATTTAAAACTTAATTCCACAGCTTTCATTTTAGTTAATTAAAATGCAAGTTTAAATTTAAAATCCATTTCTTAATAAATAAAATGTCACATTGATTTGATGATTTTAGGTTATTTACAAAATTAAATGTTCCAAGTTTCTATAAAATAAATATGATATATTATGTTAATGCAAAAAAAACCAAATTATTTTAATTTCTTGAAAACTCAAGTCTCCAGTGTTGTCAAGTAAAATTTTTGAAACAAACTACCATAGAAATTAATCACTACTTATAAATAAACTAGAAACAATCAAAGATAATGACAAAAAAGTTAGTTTTTATTATCAACAACTTATTACGTTACTAATATACCATTCTGATTAATCAGATAATACTAGTCAGTTTAATTTATTAAATATTAATTATTAATCTATTCACAGCTGCAACCAGCAGCTAGCAGCAGCCTGATCATAAAATGAAAAAATTGAAGAAAAAAAATGTGGGATATTTTAAAAGATAATCAGGACCACAGCCACAGAGAAGCATTGCCCAAACACACAATAACTAGTTCTAAATAATATGCATAGTATGTACTATGTAGTGGTTTTTATTTCTTATGTCCCTCTTACAATTTTATTTGCCCAGTCTGGTAATTTGGTGTAGCTACGGACTTGATGACAATCTATCTAAAAAAACTATCCCTACTCGCCCCCCCCCTCCTACGCACCATGGAGTGAACAAGTTTGTGTACAATGTAGTAGATATATGAAAAATAGTAAAAGACAATATTTATTCATTTTTTCGATCACTTATTGGTAGTGCAGATGCTTTTAAATTTTAAGCAATCTTAGGATGGTTCTTACAATGTATGGTTAAGTGTCCGTTAACTTGAACTGGACATTGTAAGAACGACCCTTAGGCTCGTTTCACATGGACGCGATCATACGCGACGTATTGTACGCCTGCGTTTTTAGTTTACATTGGTTAAATTCATACGCGCCACTCCGACGGTGGACGTTTCCCTGGCGAGTATGGCACGTATGAAGTATGAACTTACCAATGTTAACTAAAAACGCGCGCGTAGGATACGTCCACGTACGATACGCGTCCATGTGAAACGGGCCTTAGTGTCATAATTCAGCATTATTTGATTCATTTTTCATTTCATTTTGATACATAATTAACATTCTAATGACCAATAATCTCACTCCCGCCAATATATTTTGTTTACTAGAAAAAATAAAAAAATACTTACATGTAGCAAAAACGACCGTGTATACGACGCAAGGTTTGTCTATTAATCTATCTATAAACAATGATTATGATTTTTGTAAATTTTGTGAAGAAGATGAGAAAATTTGTCGCCACTGCCCACTGAACGCCGTGCTTCAATAAAGGACAAAGGCAGCCGGTAGGCCGTCGTAGCAAACTTAATAAATAATAATCATCACCGGTACAACACAGATTCTATGAAATCAGTGTAGCCACAAACACCGACACTGAACAATTAGATATAACTTTCCATGCTTTAAGGCTATTAAAGGTTTAAACTATACTGTTATTCAGTAACAGTATGTTTACTGGTTTCCACTATACATGACATTGTGAGGCATACGTGCATACGAATCCTTTACTATAATTGGTTGTTTAGGTAAGGTTATCACACAATTAACCACGTCACCGTGTTGTTGGGCAAGGCAGAATATTTTTCGTGTACACGGCACACGCATATCGTGAAAACCCGCCTTTATGCTAGTTCATTCCATGATACGTTCTCGTTTTCCACTGATAGTCTTGATAATCTCGCAGATAGTAGAATTGATAAAGCTGATAACTGTTTATTTTTTTAAAAAACTTGACTATTAGACTTGTAGAATTACAAATTAAATGTTTTGAACAAGAATTTGAAATAAATGAAGTCAAGACAGTTAATGTTACCTTTGAATAATGAAAATATGTTATTAGAAATATAATTACTGAAAGAACAAAATTATTTACTCAAAATAATAATAAAAGGCTATAATTTTCTCTAAATTGGTCAAGTGGTACATAATAAATCATGTTCCCTTAGAATTTCATTGACAACCACGATCATTGTTCTATTTTCAGGCAGTAGAAGGCACAGAAAGTCTACTATACTGGACCAGTAGTGTTTACAAATGTATTGCCGAGGTAGAGATGTGAATAACAATTTTTAAACTCTTAAAATTGTTATGATACTTTTAAGTTCTAAAATGCTTAGCAAAAATGCACAATTCATTAATTATGATCACATTTTGTAGCATTAATTTAAGTCTTTTAATGACAGTCTTAATGTTAGTTCAATGTATATGGGTTATTATATTTAGTCTATGATGTCGAAAAATTTAGATCTTTAGTTAATTTTTGTGTTAATTTGAACTGCTTAGGAAAATCGAAAAATACATGTAGAGATGATAAGCATAACAAATTAATAAATTGACACTATACACAGATAGAAAACAATTTGGAAATTGATAGTCTAAAAATAATAAATAATATTGAAATTAAATAAAAAAGAGTAGGTTTATTTTGAATGTTGATGATTTAAATAATAATTGAGTAATTATAAAGAAAATATAATTACTTAAGTTAAAATAATTAAATCTATAATAAAACTAAACAATATTTTTTAATCGAAGAAGAATATTTGGAAAAATGATACTTATATACTCTACCCTGTCAATCCTCACTTTTGAAATAAAAAATTGAAACAATAAAATGTTTAAAATAAGTTCAGTAATATGGAAATGTGTTTCTTAGAACATTCCTGGAACTAATTTAACTGCTGCACTTCCTATAATTCACACCGAAAAAAATGAACATTATTATTATTTTATAATTTGTCATTGTACATATCAATTTTTACTGACATTAATTTTATACCTAACATTATTTTATTCCACTAGTTATAAATACCTATAATCTATATTTCCTTATCCCTCCATTCAATAATTTTATACAGCTGTAAAAAAAACATGGATTATAAATAATATTATGTTATGCATTTCTGGATTTAATATAAACTTTAAAATAAATTTTAATTGGTATAAGGTATTTCTCACTTTTATAGCACTTAATTTTAATATTATTTAATACCCGACTATAATACCTAGCTCAATAAATATTTTTATATTGTCAGATCATTTTGAAAAAGCTAATAAAAAAATGAGTGATGCTGTACAATATAATTTATCTGAAGTAAAAAAAGAATACGAAGAAACACATAAAAATAAACAGAAATCTAGAGTCAAAAAATATTCCTTTTATACTTATTTATAGAACTTCATAGGTACGGACATTTGAAGCGCCTGAGGAATAAAATATTAGTTCCTTCTATATTTTTTTAGGTTCCGTCAGAGGCTCCTTAGAAATTCCTTAAGAGTTCCAGTGCTGTTAGGGATTATAGATGTGACTAGACAAAGACACATTTTAATTATGTAATTGTTTTTAACTGAACCTTTCAACTAATCCTAATATGTATGTAAGTAAAAGTTAATGATCAATGTATATAATTTCAGTAAGTCTATAAAAATAATATTGTTCTTCACTTAAAAAAGTTAATAATATACAATAAACAATTATTATTCACAAATTGAGTTTAAGTTTAATGCTAATTGCCTACTCTGATTCTTAGAGATTCTGTTTATTAGAAATATCAATAATAACTCATAAGTAATTATTGCAACATAATAGAGATGTTAGAAATGTACATCACAAGATTGAAAATAGTGGCAAACTCATTCAAAAAACAACAGCATGACCACAAATGGGTTGAAGAGGTAAGATTTTTTAGATAGTATAATTTAATTTTAAAACAAGTTATGAGTATTTTAATATGTACTAACAATTTGCAATTTTAACACACTTATAACTTGCCTTAAAATTAAAATGTCTTAACTTTAATGTCAATATTAAATCTGACGAAAACAAATTAATGATCTTCGAAAAAAACATTTTGCGTAGAACATTTGGTCCAAAAAGAAATAAGGAGGGTAGTTATGAAATAAGATTAAATAGAGAACTGAATACTTTATTTAACAAACCCAGTATAGTTGCTACACTCAAGAGCCAAAGAATAAGATGGGCTGGACACGTATGGAGAGCAAAAGACCAACTTTTATGGACCATCACGAAATGGAAACCGAACAAAAGTCGACCGAGAGGAAAGCCTAGACAATAGTGGGAGGATCGAGTCAAGGAAGATATCAAGATGTTGGGAGTTATGAATGGAGGGGAACTGGTAGAATACAGAGAAACATGGAGGGAGATAGTGGAAGCGGCAATAGGCCCATATGGTCTTGAGTAAACCAAAAAAAGAAATATTAAGTAAATATGATGCAGTTTTAAAAGAGCACATTGGGGTATATAAGTGATTATATGAACGTATAAAATATTAAATTGTTATACTGTGGGGCCAAACAGAGTTCAAGGGGGGCTATAGCAGCCCTCTTAGCCACTCCCTATTTTACGCACATGATAATACAGAAAATAAGTGGGCTGCTTATTGTTCTGTAGGGCTAGTTAAAAATGTATGCTGTACCAGACACAAAATCTTGAACAAGCCTATGACTAATGAGTATGTCTATAATTTGCTACTGCCTAAGTAGTTTTTAAAGTTATGCAAACAAGAATATATTTCATTTTTTGCTATGCCTTGACATGGGTTGTGGTAGAGTTACCCAACGGTTACATTATTTTGAAAATTAATTGGTGTATATAAAATGCTAATATAAACATTCAGTAGAAATGTAATCCATTTAAGATAATTTGTATCTAGTAACATTAAAAACTAAAATTAATTTTATTTTATTTATTTTCTATTTAACACTATTTTAGAGTTGTTGAATTGAGAGATAATGAAACATTTATAATATTTCAATGTATTCCTAAAAATTATAATGCTATTTTAGCAAACTTAAATAATTACGATATCCATTAACATTGATAGTAAGAAAAGAAGTATTGAATTAAAAATTTAATACAATATATTTAATGTACCTAATATGGTGTTGGTTTTGAATAATTTTGTTGACAACTTCTTAGATTCCTTAGTTTCTAAGGCAATTAAACAGACTTTATTACTTTTTTTTTTAAAAAAAGGAAAATGGATTGCAGAATGAATAGACTTGTTAAAATTGATTATACAATTTTGTTGTTAAATTTAAGAAAATATTTTGTAATTGATTATTTATCTTTGAAATAAAGTAATTTGTCATTAACTTTAAGGAAACAATAAAATAGGATATTATGAAGTGTATTGCAATTAGTATTTTTACCTGTATTGTTGACAGGAAGTGGAGGGTGATAATAATATTTAATTGGCAGTAAAAGTGTTGGCTCAGGTTCCAAAAACAATATGCAATCTATATTTTAGAATATTTCGCCACTATTTACATTAATTAATATAAACATTTTTAAGTCAATTAAATCATACAATCCTCATTATTGTTTATTTCTTCAGTTCTGCTCAAGATCATACCATGTTGGGAACATTGATATGTAAACGTCTCCCTCGTCCACATCCACAATTTCCTATAAATATTTGAATAGATTTATTTTATAAAAAGTTAACTTATTTTATAGTAATTATATTCAAATGTACTTGGCAATTTTTAGTAATAAAATAAATGTATGCATTTACCTATAGGATAAGGTCAATAAATGTTGTCATGCCATCTTTTAACTCGACCACGAATATGTCTTGATCCCCTCTGAGGAGCTTAAATTAATATCTCTTCTATTTGTAACACTAATGATGGTAAACAGAATGGCTGCTTTAAACATGGTGATATCGAGGTAGCTGAAGTGGTTGAACAGTTGGCACATTGGCAGAACCACAGGTGGCTGATTAAGTGATTGGGAGGCGATGGACATGCACTGAACCAATATCAAAGGCCTAAAACCTGGCCATTTAAATAGTAGAGAAAGTGATTGCATATTAATACCTGGTACTATAGCTTCTAAATGATAAAATTGAAGAAACACGTTAAACAAATTGTTGATTACTTTTAAAAATATACAGTTATTATGATTTATATTAATTTATAAATGACTTACGATGTAGGGAATTAGGCCCCAATTTCGTTTCTAATAATCTGCTCTGGTATGTAGTATTTACATCACCTTTACCTTATGAAGTCACTCAGATAATAACTGGCATTTTCAAGGTTTAATCACATATTTCTGACTATCAAGTCATTAAGTGGGTGTACCATATAATCTGCTTGCCTGACCTAATGAACCAAAACTATGATAAGAGTATTTTTCAGAAATATAACTTATTTAAACACATTTAAATAAAATAATAAAAAGTGTGTGTTGCAATAGACGAAGTGAAACCTTTTTACAGAGATGGAAACAAAGGTTATTTCACCTTTCTCAAATATTGAGTTTGTGTTCGAAAAATAAAAAAATGAGGTAAACTTAGTGTCCAGTAAGCCAAGGCAGAAACACTTTTTGGTACTGAATCCATAAATCTGACTTATGCTACAGCGCCTAAATAAGTTTCACTTCAAAAACATTGTTAGTAGTGATTACTAATTACTGTGATTGCATATGAACTTACATTCTGCCCATTGACTACTTGACTAAAATCATTTTGAAATCTCTCATAAACTGTTCTCAAGACTCAATCTCTATGAAGTCACAGTAACCATCTAATACCGTTTATAGTACCACATAAAAACTTTCAGCTGATCTCCCAAGTTATAGTCAGTAACTGAAATTTAAAAAAAAATATATGATTATACAAATTCCAACGTAATATTTTGTACTCGATTAATTATTAGAAACGTACCTAGGTTCCTTGTATTTTCCTAAATCCCAATTGGTGAAAAAGAATTTCTATAGTGGATCTCTTCTTTTGCAGGTAAATCAGCCAAATCCATTAATTATAATGAGCATTTAACATCATGTATATCAGAAACTATAATATGGTACAATCATGCAAAAATGTTAAAATTAAGTAAAATGGATTAAGCATTAGGAGAAAGAAATAAAATTCATATAACAGACAGCACGGATATAGTACTATATAATAAAATAAAATGATTAAATTTCATAATAACAGTAAGATATAACACAGAATGTTATAAATAGAAGTAGAATTTAAAAACAAAATGAAACAGGCAATAATAGATACAGGAGCAAATATTTATTAGTTAAAGATAAAGAGAAGATTATTTCAGAAGAACAAACAATAATCACTGGTGCAAATAATTCTAGGTTGAAAAACATGGGAACAATACAATTAAAAATAAAAATACAAGGTAGTGAATATGAAATTACAGCTTATGTAATTAAACACTGAACGTGTGAAATTTTATAGGGTAACAATTTTTTTCAAAATATTGTCTAGTTATTGATTTTGGAAAAAAAGAAATACAATTTAAAATGGGAGGAAGTAAAGAAATGGATAAAATTTGGGTAGAACATAATGGAACAATTGAAGCGATTTAAACACTGAGATTGAAACACATAAAATAAGGGAATATATCATAGATAAAATAATAGCAAAGGAGGATACCATAATGGCACCAAAAATAGTAACTAACATAAAACATAAAACTAATATGGGGACAATAAATGAACAATTAACTATACACCCAGTAGACTGTTTAAGCCAAAATCAATATTTAAATTTGGATTAAATTTGGAAACAAATATTCTAGACAAAAACGTTAAAGAAATTCAGCTGTACAATTTCTGAAATTTATAAACAAGAATATATGAAGGCACCATAATAGGAACAATGGAATATAAAAGAAAAATAATTTATTAATAATTCATGAAACAAGTAAAGACATCACTGACAGACAAGGTAGGCTCATTAAAATTTCAAGTGATTTAACTAATAAACAGAAGGAGAAGGCAAAACTTTTAATAAGTAAATATTAACATTTGTTTACTTCTGAACAATTGGAATTAAACAATTTAAATTGTTGAACAATTGAAATAAGTTGTGTTTAAAAGTGAAGGAATGTGAGGTTAATTTAGATTCAAAAGACCCAGTTTTCCAGGCTCCATATAGAATTTCTCCGAAACAAAGAGAAAAATTGAAAAACATTATTGATAAAATGACTAAAGCAGATATCATAGAACTCAGAAAGAGCAGTTATGCAGGGCCAGTATTTCTTATACCTAAAAAACAAAAAAAATATTGTTTCTTAGAGGTTTTTAAAAAACTCAATGAACAAACAATAAACGATAGACACCCTATTCCTTGTACACATTGCACAAAATATATTTAGAGCATTAGACATTAAATTAGCATTAAATATTTTTATACGGTTGACATGGCCCAGAGTTATTTTCAGATTCCGGAGAAGAAAGATGACCGTGAGAAATTAGCATTTACTTTAGATTATTTCAATGTAAACTAACACCACAGAGAGAGACAAATTCGGCACCTATTTTCCAAATAACAATTTATACCATTTTTAGTGATTATTTGTATAGATCATAGTAGCCTATTTAGACAACATATGTTGTCTTGCAGATGAATTTGAAAAGGCACTTGGTAATTTAGAAAAACTGTTTATTAGATTAGACAAAACAGGGTTAAAATTGAAAAAAAATAAATGTTTTTTTTTTTTAAAGCCAGAAGTAGAGTTGCTAGGTCATAACATTTCAGAACACGGCTTAAAACTATTAGACAGAAATATAGAAGCAGTAAAAAAATGTCCTAAGTCAATAAAAATCAAAGATGTCAGAGCCTTTATTGGACAATATTCATACTATAGAAAATACATAAACAAATTATTAAAACAGCAAACCCACTTACAGAAATTACAAAAAATGATATCGGATTCATATGTGAAAAGTAATAAGAAGTAGATTTTAAATTTTTAAAACAGGCAGTAAGTACAGCCTCAGTATCAGCATTTTTAAGGAAGGTAGAGCAATTTGTATTACAACGGATGCTTCATTGGAAGGACTAGGAGGAATATATTAGAACAAGAAGACGAAAATGGAAAAAAACATCCTATTGGTTACACATCTAGGAAACTGAAAGGAAGGGAAAAAAATTATACAACCACAGAATTAGAATTGGCTGCAGTAGTTTTTATAATAAATTATTTTAGAGAATATCTATTAGGAAGGGAGTTAATAGTGTATAGTGATCACTCGCATTTGCAATACTTTATAACAATGAAAAATCCATCATCTATAACAGGGGTGGCGAACCTTTTTGTACAAAGTGTCAAATAAAAATTTTGGTTGGATTTTGTTTTCCCTGTGTGTCAACTAGTTCGATAGCCCTTTAATTTTTTTTTCAAAAACTTTAATATTATCAAACTTTTACACATTTGTGTGTATCACTAAAATAGTGTGCGCATGTCACTCTGTGTAAATAATGTTATACGGGGTACCAAAATATTCTTGAAAATTAAAAAGAAGAGAGGTGTACAGCTAATAGGGGATTTTTAAGATGAAGCCTTGATATAGCAACCGAAAAACAAATAACATTTTTTTATACAAACGAGGAAAAATTAAAACAACAAGCAGATAAACTAAGGGAAATATTTGTATCAGGCCAAAAAGATTTAAATCAAATCACGATACAATTAAATAATTACACGACCTCAACAAACAATTGACTCGTACATTTAAAAGACGGCTATAAAATATTTTTAAACGAAAAGAAAAAAAAATGATTTAATGGAAAACACCAAGACTGATTAAGAAATAAAAGGATTACAGGAAATTATATTTAATTTAATAACAATGCTCATTAAATGTATTAATTATGAAGGAGAGATGAGTACACAACTACATTGTAAAATGGGAAAAATACCACCAAGAATAATTAATGTAGATACCCTATATACAGATTTACAAAAATTATCCGAACTATTGAAAAAAGATGGATTTTAACTAACAATAAACTTAGACAACCTGTCCTTCTATTATACGTAAATATCCCAATAATAGAATACCAATTCTCAAAAACAGATATCTTAATAAAACTAAAAATTCTTATTTGTGAATATAAATCGAATTGGAATCTATTCCAACACATACCAGTACATCTTAAATTCAAAAATTCAACATGTATAATGCACTCAGAAAAAACATGCATGGCAGTAAATACAATTAATAACAAACATAGCATAATTTAACATAGCGATCCCTCAGTGACAGATTTATGTTACACACCAATATTTTGTCAGACATTACCTTAACACTCAAGATGTGTAGAGGCAATTTTTAAAATTGACCTCTAGAAGAAATAAATAAAAATTGCTATTTCCAGTGTGTAACACAAGTTAATAACGAAGAAACAATTATTAAACAAATTGGGGTAAATACTTATGCGATAACAAACCCACAACCAATATTATTTGTTAAAAAAGAAGTAGTAACTTGACATTGATTCAACACATTTACATTATCTATGAAGACCAGCACTTATTAAAACTAAATTACCATGTGATCATGAATTAATTAGGAATGAGAAAACAATTATTCCTAAAATGTACCCATGCGAATTAAGTAATACTAACAAATTAACTATTCAGTGTGTTTTACCCATACCCTGGATAAATATAAAATCACTTAAAATCACCCATAAAGAATAGAAAGATAAAATATTCTTCACCAATCTAACGGAAATAATGAACAAAAACTGGACTAAAGACCGAATTTCCACATAAATAAAAATATATGACTATGACCAATACTTCAAAGATATCGTTCTAGACGGAATACCAAATAAACTAATAAATGCATTTTAAGGGACATATTATACATAACATGGCTATCAATATTAACCATACTCATAATTTGTATCTGCCATAAAATATACCCGGTGGTAATAACAGTACAGTAACTGATGACAGCCCACACATTATCCCCACCTATTCCTCCCAGAATAAAAAAAGATAATATACATATATATAAGAGTAAGACTAATAATAAAGTAAATAAAGATTACTTAATTAAACAATTTTCCCAGCACACTAGAAAAATTCAAATCCTCAAAAATAAAAAGTCCTTGAGTAAGTAGACAGGAAAAGATCTGCACATTAGGAAATGAAAGACAACACAGCTGTAAGTCCAATTGCACAAGTTCAATTCTTAAAAATATTTCCTATAAAAAAAAATGAATATATGAATATACATTAATAAAAAAAAAAGACCAAAGGCCAATAGGTGAATACCAGACATGATGACATATCCAAAAATCCTCCAGTAACAAAGTAGATAACACCATCCAACACCATCAGTGTAATCGCCAACAATTCACACCTAAATAAAATATAAGCAATTAATACAGCATATTTTTTGTTTATTTTTAATAGTTATAAAACATAAAATGTAATAAGGTAATATTATCAACATGTTGTTTAAATGTTGATTGGCAATATTATGAATGTACTAATTTAGCTTATAAACATAAGTAATACCATTTTACAATGTTATAATTTAAATAAATAATTAGTTAAGATATATGTGTAAGAATATCACTAGGATAATATATGTAATACATTTAGCTTGTATGCCATCAAAATTATTAGTATAATAAATTTATTATTATTTAAAGCTTTTAATAGGTAAAAGTAAAAGTTAAAAAGATATAATAATATTACTTATTAGTAATAAGAAATGTTAGCACACATTAACTAGGTTAAGTAAACACTCATTTGTAATAGGTAAAATAGAATAATTTTAAGCATAGTCAGTAACTAAAATATAACTAGGTTAAACTTAATATCAATATTACCGATAGTGCTTCTATACTTAAGGAATACATAAAAACAGGAAGGGGGTCGGAGTGTGATGATAGTGTGACTCGATTGCCACTGGACGTCTAAAATAATAAAGTGCTAATATTAATATTAGTTTGTTTATATTTTGTGTATGTCTGTGAATGGCGTATACGTCAATATAATCATACCTACTTATGCTCATAGTTTGAATCATCCATAACAGTGTAAGAAGCAGTTGCCTTAGGGGTTACTTCAAGACGGGTTAGACAATTTTCCGACAACAATAACTCTTCTAAGTTCTAACCGATCCACATTTATGATTAACAGCGGTGGAGTTGAGGACTGGAAAGAACAAAGTTGATGTACTTAAAAACGTATTTTGAACATTAATAAGTAACAAGTAACAACAAATCGCATATTATCAAATCACAATGACACAATATCACACATCACTAATTGATAAAACGGTTAGAGGCTTCGAAAAAGAGCTTCAGAATGCCAATAAAAAAATTACATTTTTCGTTTACATACCTATTATACAAAATCAAAATTTTCAAGAAAAAAAAATCGTGACGCATCACGATTTAAGGAATCATCTTAAATTTAATAATGTTTACTCAATCGCGTACCCTCCTCATGGCAGTGGGGTTGTCGTTACCGTTGTCTTATCACGCTGCTGTTGTCAATGGTCGTCGTTATTATTACTATTACTATTATTGTTATTATGATTTTTTTTAAATGTTAAATTTTGCAATTTTTACTTGATTTTCGGGTTTTTTTTTAACGATTTTTCGACTACTCTCCCGTTTTAATCGCAAACGTTTTTGTAATATTACAGAACCACTGTAAGTTGTATAGTCTAGTTTTTTATAATGTCATGACTTAATAAATGTATTATCTAAATGTAATAAGTACCTTTTATTATTGACTATCGTGTAAACAGGCACGAGCCACCAATAGTCAATACACCACTGAACAAAATATATTTCACTCAAGTCTGAAATCATTAGAATGATACCTATAATATACCCAAGATTGTTTATATTACCTTGATGTACATCAAATTTCAAGTTAATCTAAATAAATAATGTTGGACACCCCCCCCCCCCCACCAACTGTTTATTTTATGTAGCTAATATTTAAACCAAACAAATAAAAAAAAACTATGTATCAACATTGTTTTGTTTTATATCTAGTCATTTAGAGTTTCACTTTGGATGAATATACTGATTATATACTATTAATATGATTAATATGATAAAATTAATACCCATTCAGAATTCTTACTTTCAGTTTTCTCTTATTTCTGTACTAGATACTGTGTATTTACTTTTTTAATATTTACCAACTAAAGTTAGTGGAAAGTATACAATACTTTCTCATCTACACCTCTCTAAACACATTGAATTTCCAAGGACTAATGTGAGATTGATAATTGAATCTTAAGTGTTATTTATCCAAGTATGAAATTAAAAATGGTTCCACATATTTTTTGTAAAATATTACTATTTATTTTTGTTTTTTTAATTAGGTACCTACCTACCTACCTCAATAATATATTCAACTTATTATTTATCTAAATTTGGTATATGCTACATATTCAACTGTTATAAATATTAAATTTGGTAAGTAGGTACACCTATATTATATTTTATGTTATTTGATTTTTCATATAACCAATTAAAAATTACTCAATAACATGTGGATTGTTTACATCTGCCTACCTATTGAAATAATTTTGAGTAATAATATAACAGTGATAATGATTTTTCGAGTGTACATTCACTTAAAGTCATTCATCAAGCCCATATTACTAACAATGGTTTCTACATATTTCACCAAATTTCATACAAATTGTGTGTATCATAGTTATAGTAAACTGGTTATTTCCCGAAAGCGACAAAAACTACAAACAATTTTACTTGAAGTTTTTCATACACAATTAGTTTTGTAGTGTTATACTTCAAACAACAACAGTCTGAAACTCTAAACACATATATAAGGTTCTACCATCTGCTCATATTTTTTGTCAAAACAAATTTTTTTTGACACATATGCCCCATCAAAAGAAAAAGATACAACTGTACATTTATCTTTCATACCTAGTGTTTCTTCTTCGATTTTTTTAAAAATATAAATTGACTTAATCCATTTAATTATAATAAAATAATATATTTTAAATATATACACCTTTGGCTTTCATCAATTTCATTACACCTGAAATAATGCCTGGTCTCATAAGAAATTGAACTGCTCTTGTTCGAAGCATTGATAATCTTAATTTTTTTTTACTAATGTTACCATGTATTCAATTAATTTATATGGATAAAATATAAACCAACTAGAGGAAAAAGTTTTTCTTCATGTAAGTATCGATATGCTTTAGGTGTTATATTTCTCAAGGTAATTGCAGAAGAAATATTTTCAGGTTGCCATTTGTATACCCTCGTTTTAGGATTTGAAAGCATATCTATTTAAGTCTTAGTGAATAAAGTGGACAATATTTGTATAAAACAGTATTCAAATCATTATTTGATTTAATTTGATCATTATATTCAAACCCATTCATTTTCTAAGATATCTAATATTTCTCAAGCGAAGAAAGTTATATACCAATGGATAAATAGTAAATTTAAAATGTAACTTAATTTTAAGAAATCTGTACAAAATTAACTTGAAGTTAACACGTTAAATATGTTAAAATTTTAACTTATTAAGTTTAAATTTAATTTAAAAAAAAAATGACGTGTTGCTTAACTTAGTTAATATTAACTTAACGTTTTAACTTAATTTTAATTTTTAACTAGTTAATGCCCAGCCTCGCATATAATGTACTAATAATTAAATTTAATAAAATAATTCCACAAACATTTATTTTAATTATGTACAACACAGAAAGCATTTATAATTTTATCTATATCTAATAATTATATTATGAGTAGGTTGTAGGTATTATAAATTACAATAAAATTAGTTAAAACAAGTAACTAACACAGCCAGTTAAAAAATTCCGAGCATTCCGATCCCACAATTATTTTATGATTAATGTTCTCATGTGAAAATATATTGTTTGAATATCTACCTACACAACGTGCGTTTTGTCTTGCTTACTTTCATTATATTTAATACCTTCTGATCCTGGAGATTAAGAACACTACTTCTACCGGCACTTCGTACCACGCTACGAACACAGCCGTCTTGACAACACCGGTAGACACTACACTTATAATGATAGTCAAGATAAAGACAAGTCGCCAGTTATGTGGCCTCTACTGCGGATGCAACTTGTCGCATATTTATCTCAACTTATTTATTATTATTTCTTATTTAAATATACCACAAGTCACTTACACGCGCTCAATAAGGCTACATTATTGGCGATTTGTCACGAACATTCACGTTTATATTAATATATTCACATGAAAATCAATTATATAGGGATAGTTAAGTAGGTATAAAAAGTTTTTTTAAAAGTTGTAGTATAAGCCTTTGCTATTAATTAGTAATTGTATACATTTTACTATTTTAGAACCTTTTGAAACGTATTCATCACCTGTTAAATTCAGATAATTCCTTATCTATTCTATATTTACATACAAATCCGATCCAAGCAATATTTATAACCCCAATAATATATGACATAAATCAAGACTCGCAGTAAAAACAGTTTAACATACATTCAAATCTTTCAACATCTAAATCCAAAATTGAATTTCCGTTTGTCTTAACTCTTAAGCTTGAGCAGTTCAGCAGCATTGTTGTGTACTTGTGCGTGTCGCATGATAACATTATAAGTAATACTGATTAGTGATTACTTAATATTATTATTTACGGATTTGAGGCTTGAATGTGACAGTGATATAAGAAACAGGTACCTATAATACCTGGTATAAGAATAAGACTATTATAATATTATGTTCGTGGTATAACTATGATAGTATGATAATAATATCATTATGTAGGTATATTCTCTACTCTCTGAGGTAAATACATTAAAATGTATTATTAGTATTGCGGATAACATAATACAACAGGCATAATATAATCTTTTGTACAGGTGCGCGGGAGCGACTCATTATGACGTGATAACTGATAAATAACACTATATTAGCTACTTGTCGGCATGAGGTCATTTCATTGCAATTTCTGAAATTTGTAAATAGCTCTCAAGCATAAAGTTTTGCATTAATTAATATTCTGTCGGAACTGATTCTTTTTAGAGCTGTACTACTGTTTTTAAAAATAGTCTGACAAGCTGACAATGTCATTATTATTGTACTGTAGTACCTACCTATAATAATATACATATAAACATTATACAACACTAATAACTATACTCTATTACAGGTATAATTGATGAGACTTTAATAATAACCAGCGCGGCGCCTGATGTATTGAACCCGTTTCCCTGACTGCGAAGAAACTAGAAGGCGTTGGTCACGTCCTTTCTCGTCATTATAACGAACCCTTGCGGTCGCCGTTCGTCCGTCGTGACGTACCTATCTTATTTGTCATGAATATGACAATAAGGGCAGCAATAAATTAGAAGTCACAGTACCAACAGACAGCATCGTGTAGTGACAAAAAAACATGCCGATAGGCTATATTGTGTTATCTACTGTCACGCAGTTGAACAAAAAACACTTGCAGGTGATCATGGAAACGGACGCACAACACTGGCGGTACTCGGCTCCAAGATCTGCTGAAGAACTTAAACAGGCGTGAACTCGAGCACACACCACGCAACAAATAAAAAATTTAAAAAAATAAGGAAACGATAGCACCTATCTGAAGCGCAACCCGAAGCAGTGGGTAACATTGACAGTACGTGAAAGTTACCCGACCCAAAACTTAACGCTCGTTGAGATTCGAGAAAAAACGGACAACTTACGCCAATGGACGACGGACAACCGCATTCGCCTGTTAACACCACCGTTGACATAATATTATATTTATATAGGTTAACAATTGCACAAGGATAGGGCGCGTAGTATGTACCTATCTCATATTAGTCGCGGGGACGATAGACATACGAGTAGTGATTTGTAATTTCTCGGTATTTAAAAATAATGAAATATTTCCGGCATTTGTAATAACTTCTCAAGCAATAGGAATTTTTACTGCTAATATGAAATTTCAATTTCAATTCAATTCAAATGTATAAGTCAAAATTGTATTATTGCCAATCCAAACACAAATAAAATATGATGCGAGTGGCGAACACAAAGTATAATAAATCAAAGCAACGAAAAAGGAAAATAGATTAATTATAATACCCTTATGGCCAAACAGAATGAAATATTAAGTATGGCCCTTCAGGCCCAAAATAATACTAATAATTAATAAAGATAAAATAACTCACAGTTTATGGATCGCAGACTGGAAAACTGGTCCTATATTTCCAAAATAATAAGAATAATAATATCACGATGCTATATTATATTGAAATTAATAATTATATAATAATAATATTAGCGACGATTCGCGTCTCCGGTTTAATACATATAATTTATGGCACTTAAAGCCCACAATGGTAATGATAATAATATAAGGGACGATGATCACCGGAAAATTAATAATACATTATAAAGTATTTGGCGATTTGAGTCCACAATTTTACTATTTTTGAGACGACACCTTAAG